ACAGTCGGCTCAGCGGCCTGGAGGATGACATGGACTAAGAGCAAGGTGCTGCCAGGCTGGCTGTGCTCCAGCCCTGGATGCCTTTTCTCCCTGCCTCCTGCTGCAGGGCAGGGGCTGTGCAGCACAGGAGGGGATGGTGCTGCAGCAGTGCCATCCCTTCATCGTTGTCAGACTTGGACATCCCCTCCTTCCCCTACATGCGTGGTCCCTGTGCTCAGCCCTGCCTCCTGTACTGGCTGCCAGGTGAGCTGTCTTCCCCGGGGCCAGTCCCCATAGCACAGGGGTGGCAGAGCCCCCGGGGCAGCTCCTCTTGCCCAGACCTGTCCCCCCCACCCCTCAGCACTGACAATACCCTCCTTTCCCCCTGCCCCAAGGAAGGAACTGCACAATACGGCAACACACCATCTGGGACCAGCAGCCCCGAGGCTTTTAATTCCGCCTTCCTTTACCATCCCCTTGCAAGGCTGCAGGTGGCATGGCAGGAATGGTACTTCTGCTGCTGCAGCAGCCTGGTGTTTTCAAGCCAGTGGGGAAGGACCACTAGCAGCCTGAGAGCTGTTGGATCAGGGGGAAGTCTTGTTCCCAGGGGTGGGAGAAGGTTGGGCTGGCTGGGGGAAGCAGAGGGAGCTGGCACCTGAATGTGAGGGCAGAGACCTGGCTTCACCGTGGAGACACTTCCCTCATATGCAGCTGGGCCACCTCCTTCAATTTTTGTCAATGTTTTCTGAGTCGGTGGAAAACTGATGGAGATGGACCTGTGTCATGCTGCCCCTCTCTCCACTGTCTCCCGTCCCAGTGTAACCCCCCTCACTGGTGCAAGGTGCCATCGGTGGGTCCCTCTGCTCCAGCCCATGGCTCAGGCAGCTGCTGGCAGAGCAAGCCTGGCCTCCTCCTCCCTCCCAAAGCAGCGGGGTGCCAGCACCCTGCCCAGGGTGAGCCTGACTCCAGCTGTGCCACTCCCTGCTGCCTCCTGCCTCTTGCTGTGTTCTGGTCGGTTTTCTTGAGCTATACATGGGTCTCCTGTTGAGCCTGTATATATTGTTCTGGTCCCTGGCCCGCGGCCATCCGTTCTCTGTGTCCATGTGGAGAGTGAGCCGCTCACCAGTCTTGTTGTAGTGATGCCAGGGCGGTAGGACTAACCCTGTGTCTCTGGAAACCATTCATTTCAAATAAAGATGCGAAAAACTTGGCAGCCCTTGCTACCCCCACACACCTTCGGCAGGGTGAGCACTGCAGGAGAGCAGGGGCAGTGTCCCACTGCGGCCACGCTCCTGTCCATCTGTGCCTGCCTGTGCTTCCTTCCTTGTCTGGTCCCTGGTGTGCTGCCAGTTCTGGCATGCTGGGATGACCTCTGACCCCATGCCCACTGGTGTCAGCCCAGCATGCCCCTCTCCTCCCTGCCTCTCCCTTGCCCATAGGGCTGCAGCCCAACCCAACCCAGCAGTGGCCCTGCCCTGGCCACACAGTGTGTCCATGAGATGGACTGGTCAGAGAGCAATGCCACAGTGCCTGTGGGCAGAGCAGGAGTCAAGTGAGGTGCAGAGGGTGTTTATTTGCTCCCCCAGGGCTGATGGGCTCCTGCCCCAGCCTGGCTCTGCTCTCAGCCCCACTGCTTCCAGGAGCATGGGGAGCAGCTGAGCCATGTCCCTGGGGCCATGGCCATCTCTCATGAGGACCATAGGGTGCATGCCGTAAGCCTGGCATAGCCCAGAAACAGGTGGCCTGTGCATCATCCATCCTTGAGCATCCCAGCAGGACATGCTCACACTGCCAGGTCTGTTGCTCGTGCGTTCCCGGGGGACCCACTGGCCACCCCCAGCCATGCACCTGCCTTCCCCAGGGGGGCCAGGCC